CAGCATTTAGTATACAAGTGGTCATCGTACAGGTAAAGTTTGGGCCTCCCTTTGGTCCCCACTTTGCCTGGTTTGAGATTAGTCACTCTTATTAATGTTATGTGTCCCCCTCCTTCCCCTGGCAGTTTCCAGCTACTGACAATCCCTTTCTTATAGTATTATGGTAACTGTTCAGGGTCCACTTATGAGTGAGAACATATGGTACTTAGTTCTTTGTTTCTGTGGTAAATCACTGAGTATTATAGACTCTAAATCCATACAAGTTGTTGTGAAGTCCACAATTTTGTTCTTCTTTATGGCTTTATAGTATTCCACTATGTATATGTGCCACATTTTTCTTACCCAGTTCAGTTTTGATGGGCAGCATGATTGGTTCCATGTTTTTGCTATTGTAAATAGTGCTGCAATAAACATGCATATGCAGATATCTTTATTGTAGTGTGATTTAACTTCCTCTGGGTATATTCCCAGAAGGAGGGTTGCTGGAGTGTATGGAAGGTCAACTTCTAGAAATGTGAATCAAAAATCACATTGAGGTACCACCTAACTCCAGTAAGAATAGCTATCATTAATAAAACAACAGATGCCGACGAGGATGCCAAGTAACGATTTCAAATATGAGCCCCAAATTAGGATACAAGGATTGATGTTTCAAAGTGAAGGTGTGAATTTTCAGTCAAGGTGCACCTTGAGTGGAAAACTCCATGAAACATATTCAGAATTAGTAGGAGATAGAATTTTTTTAAAAAATCAGGAAGACCAAGTAGTTTTAGATTAAAAATGAGTAAAACTTGCAAACTGAACTTTAAACTTTAATGTAATATTTCTCAGTGATAAACTTAAAAAATTATAGTTCAGGTGATGTTAATATTTCAATAGTATTTTGTTCAATAGAGGCCACTACATGTCTTTAAAAATAATTGTTCTCAAATTAAGAGCTTAAAAAGGTTAACAGCAAATGGTTATTTTAGCATGTTCTTTTAGATTATCAGCCTTATGAGAAAACAACACATATGTTTAACTGGGCTCTGGAAAAATGAAAAAAAAATCTTTTAAAAGGAGTGACGTATATAATCCAATTTAAAATAGGGAAGGAGGAGAAGGAACAAGCCTGATATTCCTATTTCCCATTTCTCTCCCTGTTTGAAGTTCTACATCTCATTGCAAAGTGGTATAGACCAAAGTGAAATGAATTCAGAATCCTGTGATCAATTTGGTCTTCATTCGCAGGGAGTGTTGAAATACTCAATCCATTTGATTGCCACTACTAACTTAGTGATTGATTAACTAAGAGGTGGTTCCTTAATTTTTTTAAAGCCCCAAAAGAAAGGTAAAAGGGGAAAGGGAGCAGAAAGAAACCCTTGATGAAGTAAAAAGAACCTCGTTATTAGAATCTTTATATTCTGGAGTGGGATCTGATACTGACCTTGGTAATAGCCTTAAAAAATCAATTAAGTAACAAATTTTAGAAGTCATCTCTTTCTCCATTATCCAAGGTCATAACAATGACTCATCTGAAAACTGTAAGTATCCATTGCCTAAAAAATTATGCCAATGGGATTTCAAAAGGGACTTTCAATTTTAAATAAAATGTCAGTTTCACCACCATCTGATATCTCTTTAGTTCTTGCCAAAATTTTCCCCCAAGTACTGGGTTGTTTTTCTCTTTTTATACTTTTTTCAAAGTTATCTTGGAAGAGTCTTTATAAAATAGAATAAAATTTTATTGCAAAAAGGGACTTTAAAATTCATCTGATATCCCCTCTCCTGCTCCATAATTCTCAAGATGAGAAAATGGAGCCCCAAGAGTCTTGGGTTCTCACAGTCTGGTAAAGATGGTGCTGGGTCTAGATCTAAAGTGTGTTGTCTTCCAAGGTGTTCACACTCTCACATGCTGTCTCAGAGCAGGTCAGGATCAACCATTTTATCTCTTTACCTCACCCAAGACCTTTTCAGCAGTCTACATGGCCCAACTATTCTTCTTTCGTTGCTTTCTCTTTTATTGTCCTACCTTGCATTCATTGAGACATAGATTACAAAAAATGAGAGTGTGGGTCTCACTACTGACCCTTTGTGGCAGTAACAGAAAAATATCTTTAACAGTGAAGTTTGAGATTTGAGTGTTCAGTGTTTCTAATTCGATGCTGTCAATGACACTGACTTCTACTAGTTATTTAGCACATATGAATCATGTTATAGTTTCAAAATACTTTTCTATCAATAGCAACTTCTTAGTATGAATCAGGCTAGTTTTATTATTTCCTTCTTTCCAAAACAGCCTCTCCTGGTCACATCAGATTTGATGAATGCAATGAGTTGCCCTTCTGCTTAGTTGTATGAACTAAAGTCTACAGGATGCAAAACAAAAGTTTTAGATTAAGGGTAGAAACAACTTTATCTCTGGGATTCATGGTTGCTAAGGACAAGGTTGGGGGTGGGTGATGGAGGGATTTGGGGAAGGGTAGAAGAAGGATCTGCATTCATTGATGGTAAGCCTAGAGTCTGCAGGTATTTTAGCTCATCCCTAGTTCCTAGAGTCTTGAAAGACTCTGCTTTATCCCCCAAATCTGCTGTGGCACAGGGCAGGGCAAGGGTGGGGAGAAGGGCCATTGGCAGGGTCCAATTTGTTCCCGACTAGCCCTAACTTCAAGGAGCAACAAGTTGAATTCTCAGGGGAATCTATGGGAGTACTTTAGATCAGCAATACCCCAACCCTGGTCTTTTCCTGGTTGCTATTGACAAGAGCAAACACCTTGAGAGTGCCCCATGGAATAGTGATTCTGAGCACGAACACAGAGGCAATTCCAAACCTGGAATAAGATAAAGCTTTCCTTGGGCATGACTCAAATAGAAAAGCTCTTTGAATTACAATATTTGAATCTGAGTCACTCGCCAGTCTTTTCTTTGTTCCATAAAGGTAATTTAAACATTGAGGCCTAAACCAGTCTTTCTGATTCTCAGTCTTACCTTCCAAGCAAACTCCCATCTCAACTGCCCCATGGAAACAGTAAGATCTATTTCAGAAATTGATTTTTTTTAAAAAAAGACCACTTTATGGAGGCAGGTTTGAGAGACTGTTGGGCTTAAGAGAATCACTAGAAATTAGTCAATTTTCACTATAAAACTCTCTCTGCCCTGGGACACATGGCCTTTCAAATGGACCCATAAATCTGATTACTTTCACCTTTCCTCTTCTTCCTTCCATGCTAAGATTCTTCTGATTTACCAGCAACTACAGGGGAGTTAAGACAAATGAAACCTAACAGAAGTTCTGACCCTCCACTGCTACCAATGCACTGATGATGCATCATTACAAATTGTATTTTTAGCGACTTGCAAGTGTTATATTGGGCTGGCCCATATTTAGATCATCTTTGTCACCTCCTCAGATCCCTCTGATATTTTAAAGATCTTCCGAGAGCCTACAACCACCCTTGCTACAAATTCTCACTCTTTTAAACTTACATGTCTGATGCTACTGTTTAATTCTGTCATCTGTTGATTTTCAAAGCTCTGCCTGATGGACCTTGAACTGTAATACTTGAATTTCATGCCTATAGGAAAAGCTAAATTTAAGATTCTGACATTTGCACATTTAAATCATTTCCCATAAAGGTAATTTAAGTAAAGAGGTCTAAACCTGGCTTTTTGACTCTCAGCCTTCTCTTCTCAGCAATCTCCCATCTCAACCACCTCACGGAAACAGTGAGATTTCTTTTAGGCACTGATTTCACCAGCAGCCGCTTTCTTACCTCGTGTGTCCCACATCCCTATTCTACTCTCTCCGTCTCCCTCTTCATACAATCTCAGATGAAGGGTATAGTTAATCTTCATCACTTAGGGTATGACCCCCTTCCACAGAATAGCCAATTATATAGCCAATGAAGTATGGACTTAGGAGTTGAATTCTATCAGAGTTCTCTCCTTTCTGCTTAGAGAATTCATTGATTACATGGTTCAAAATACTTTGTTACCAAAATCTGCTCCTGCAATTAAGCGTGCTGGTCTAAGCTTTTTTTTTTTTTTTTTTTTGGAGGGGGGGAGTTACATGTTTCTTTACATCAGAGTCAGAAGGAACCAACAAAGTAACCAATAAAAATAAAGAAATGCAATTTGAAAGGTAGGAACGGTTGAAAGAGCAAATAGACTGTCAAAGGGGAAAGAAATAAGTTCAGGATACAGCACGAAGTGCAGGTGTACAGCAGCAATGCCACGTGACAATTTAAGGAATTATGCATGGATAATAATAATCATCATCCATGGGGATAATAATTCCAAGGGGAACTTCACCCAAAAACAACTCTCTTGTTAACTGGTGGCTTGTGTTATTGGGGAGGTGGAAATATCTGGGCAATTAAAGCCATCATCTGCTGCGGTCCGTTTTGTATCTTTAGCACTCAGCACAGCAGCCGGGCACTGAGTAGCTGTCTATATGTGGAGCAAATGTAACACTGGTCAAACCACCCGGTGTTTTCAAGTAAACTATAAAATCCTGTGGCACAGTCACTTCCATGCACACACAGGCCCAGTCTACGGCAGGATTTGTGAGGGAAATAACTTAAAGCAAAGCACGGGACATCCATCGGCTGTAGTTCATTTGGCTGCGTAAGGGGAAACACGCAGAGAGGAAGCAAGCTCAGTGATGCAGATCAGAGACCACCCTTGAGGTTTGTCTTTCACATCGTCTGCCAGCCTCTTGCCCAACTTCTCCTATCTCCACCTGTCGACCCGAGGCAACCCGGGAGTTAGGAAGGGCTAGTTGAGTCTGAGGTTGAAGCAGGAACGACTCTTGGGGGCAGCACGTCTCCTCTCCCTCGGCGTCTCCAGCCTGCAACTGCCGCGCGGCCCCTTGTGCCTCTGCAAAGATGCAGAGGTCGGAGCACGTTGCTGTGCGGTGATGAAATGCTCCCCGAAGCAGCCTCTTGAGCCCGGCCCCTAACACCTACTGGGATCCTGGGGTTGCCTCTGGGATCTCTGTGGGTGCTCCCGCCCCCTCTCAGGCCACCTCCGCCCCCCAAATCCGGGCCCCCTTCTCTGGCTCGCCCACGCCCCTTGAGGGGCGTTCCAGGGTCGCCGCGGTCCTCTGCGCCCCGGGCGCTGGCGGCGCGGGCCGAGGCGGGAGGCGGAGCAGGGGGCGCCCCCCGGCTCGCGCGTCGCGGCGCTTCGCGAGGGGTTTGCCGCCTTCAGCCGCAGCAGCTGCAGCGGCGGCGGCGGGAAGAGGGGTGGAGGGTGGTGAGGCGGGCCGGAGCCCGGGCCGGGAGGGAGGGAGGGGAGCCGCGAGGCTGTGCCAGGCGAGCCGGAGGGGTGCTCCGCGCTCCCCCGCCCTCCTTCCGGGAGCGAGAATGCAGACTCTGAAACTGGTGCTGCTGGGCTGAGGCGGAG